CCCCCCCCCCCCCCCCCCCCCTGCCCCAATCCTGCTTTAAGGACTTACTTTAAATGATGCCTCTTGATCCGATCATTTTCTTCATTTCAGTAGTTTTCAGGAGTCCCTCCAGCTCTGGTGCCAGTCTCTGATCCAGTGCAGACTCCTCTGGCCCCATGGTGTCTGTCCACGTGCACGCTGCTGGCTCTGTGCATTGAATTACCCTGTGTCTCTCCTCTTCTCCCGCCCGAAGATCTCTACTGCACATGTGCCCGCCCCATGATCCTTCACAGCCGCTCGAGAATCTTCAGATCTTCAGACGGAAGCGAGCGGCGGAGACACAGGTAAGTGATTACCTAATCTGTAACTTTTTTATTTTCTTTATGTTTTTGCATATATCTACTGCTTGCTAGCAGTAGATATATGTAAAAACAAAAGTGACTTTAATTCTACTTTAAGTTTTGAAAATGAAAGAGAGAAGCTGGTTGGTTACTATAGGCAACTGCTCCAGATTCTGTCTGCTCCAGTTTTGATATCCATCCCCGCCCCGATGTATGTGTCTCAGGGCGACCCTCAGAGATTTCAGCTAAAGACCCTTTAACCATCTTTTGACTTTTGACTGATGTGCTTCCTCCACAATACCACCACTCTCCAACAATACCACCACTCTCCGACATGAAACAGTTTGTTATCATGTTGGGAATGTGAATAGGAAAAAATCTTTATCACTTTTGTAAAACTTTAGTAGCATGCAGAGAGAAATATGCACTGTACACTCGTCTGGATTATAAAATGATGTGCATAATTTATAAGTTTAAAATCATTGAAGGTTAGAGATGCATTTTGCTATTTGTATGGTGAGCATCTATATCATGATCTAGTCATTCAGTTGTAATAAAATATTACTGTGAAACCTACTGGGTATAATAACGGTGTATCCGTTGTCTTGTCTCTGTAGGCCAGAACTGGCGGATTATTGGTATTCATTATCATACTTGTACTTAAGTGTTTTGGGAACTGTTGTGACTGTGGTCGTTGGGTTAATTGTAGGCCTCTTTTCTGGTAAGTACTAAATAGTAAATATTTTCAAATATACTTTTTAGCATTAGCTTTAATTTGTAATGTATATAGTTGTAACTGTCGGTTTTTATGAGATAATGAAAGATCCAATACCCATCCATTCCTTAAACAGTTTCAGAACATCATGTAGATCAGTGGTTCTCAACCTTTCTAGGGCCGGGACCCCTTGGTAACATTTGCCAAGTTGTGGTGACCCCCAAAGGTAAAATTCAGGGATGACGCAGCTGCGGCAGCAACATCTGGAGGCATGGTGGGAGAACTGACACTGCTGCGCTAGGAGAGGGCTGAGGAGGACTCTCACATAGCACAGCGACCCACAGCTTGAGAACCACTTCTATGGGCAAAGACAGGACCGGGCTCTGCAGCTTGAACTAGAAGAATTGGATTTACGTGGAGCTGCTTATTCACTGACAGAGCAGCCCATAGAGTTCAGTGTAAACCGTGAGAGTTACCCCTAAACAGAAATATTTACTTCCCCTTTCTCCAGTCTGTACTCCTCCCTCCACACTCTACTATGCTGGAGGACCTTGCGGTGTGTCACAGTCATGTGACCAGCTCCTGGGGTGGGCAGGGCCGGCTGTGCTATTAAAAAAAAACAACAAACAAACAGCGTAGGAATGCATAGCTAGATTCCGATTGGCTATTTCACTTTGCAAAAGCCAATAGCAAACTAGCTATTGCACCCTCCCTCTGCTGCTGTCAATCACTAGAAGGTGACCTGATGGAGAACTTCAGGTCCCCCTCTGCTGATTGGCACCAGTAGAGGGGGGGTGCAATAGCTAGTTTGCTATTGGCTTTTGCAAATTGAAATAGCCAATCGGAATCTAGCTATGCATTCCTATGGTGGGTTTTTTTTCTGACTTACGGGGGCCGGCGGCCCCCGATGCCAGAGATCCAAAAAAAAAAGATCAGAGAAAGGTGCCGAACTTTCCGGGAGAAAGTGTTTCTCTCCCAGGCAGCTGGGAGCCACTAGGGGACCCCTGGCAAATCATCATTCGACCCCTGAGGGGGTCGCGACCCACAGGTTGAGAACCGCTGATGTAGATCTATTCTTTTTGACTTGATTGTATGTTTTTATACCCACACATATAAAGATTACTGTGAAAATGCTTAAACTGCCCATTATACTTTTGTATTTGCCCCTGTAGCCTTTAAAAGAAATTCCAATGTGCTGATTTTCCTTTACTAGAGATAAATACTCTTTCCGGCAGTGTGGCTTTGCTGTGTGTTTGTATTTATATTTGCTGTTAACAAGCTGTTCCTGTGGACCACTAGAGGGTACTGTTTGGAGAGGGGACAACTATGCGAGCCATTTTTCCGAAGTAGATTTTTATCCAGAGCCCAGGATGCACTTAGAGCCAGGAAGCTGTAGACAATGTTGGTAGAAACATGAGTTTACTTCTATAACCCAAGGCCGGCCTTAGGCCTCTAGGCGCCTTGTGAGAGAAAGCTCTACAGCGCCCCTCAGTGATCACACCCCTCACTAACCACACCACTCAGTGGCCACACCCATTTCTCCAATATCCGCTCCATTCAAAGACTCCCATTTTGTTAAGCCCCAAAGAAACATATTCAAAAGTATGATAAAAATAAAACTTTTATTTAAAGGTATTAAACTTGCAGGCACAATGTAAGTATTCTTATTAAATAAAACAATTGTAGGCAAACAAGTGATAAACAATAAATGTCAAACTAAAATGGAGTCTATAAAAATAAAGTGTCAGGTTGTCATGCATCCTTTCTTCAAGTAAGTGTAACTAGAAAAGTAAAAATAAAAAACCGAACACAAAACCTAGACTACATGTTAAATCAATGAATTACTATTTGCCCAAATATGCGAAAAATTTATTCAGGCATATAATAATTTGTTTGAGAATGTGCGGCGGCCATGTTGGCCACCGATGCCCTCTTTTGCGAATGCGTGCCACCATCTTGGAGGCGGGGAGCATGATGTCACATGACGCCATGCATGCGTCAGGGGATGTCACAAGCCGATATAGGTGCCGCCATCTTGGCGTATACCTAGATATACACCAAGATGGCGGCGCCCAACACGTGCGGTGTTATATGACGTCATGTGCTCTGCCTCCAGAACACACCAGTGGCTGAATCCAAAATAGCATAAAAATTTGTTTTGTTTGATGAAACTAAAACGTTTCTAGTTTTCGTTCATTTCATCTGAAATGAATTTTTTTGTGGTTGCACATATCTAATAATATGTGTGTGGGGGGGTAATTTTCACTTTTTAAAAATAATTTTTTTCATTTTTTATTATTTATTTATGTATTTATTTATTTTTTTGTTGGGGGGGGAGCTTTATATATTTATTTGTTGGGGGGGGAGCTTCGTGAAAATATTAGGGGTCTAAACAGACCCCTGACATTTCCTTTTTAAAATAGAAAAGAAATTGAGGACACAAAGGCTCAGCACTCAATGAATGGGAAGCACTCAGTACAGAGGCTTCCCATTCATTCAGAAACTGATGATAGTAAAATATTTTACCATCACCAGTTTATGAATGGGGAGGAGCCTCTGTAGTGAGTGCTACTTCCCATTCAGAAATTCATGAATTAACAGGATCACATCCTGTTCATTCATAACTGGGGACACATAGTACTATGTATGTGTCCCCAGTTATTTACAAACACTGGAGTGATCAGACGATTACTCCAGTGTTTGCTCTGCACACACAGAGGATCAGTAAATGTCACAGATATTTACCGATCCTTCGCTCGGCCACGCACACAGGATGACAGCACTGACAGGATGACAGCGGCTGCTCTCTCCTCCCCGCTCGAGCATCCTGACAGCAGGCAGCACTCCCTTCTGCACCCCCCGATCCCCCCCGCAAGCTTTAGCTGACAGTTTCTCCTTGGAACCGAGGACAGCGCTGAAGCGGGCAGGCGGGGAAGAGGGGGCGCTGTCATGTTGGATGGCCAGCGGTGAGGCGAGAAGCGCAGGCTGTAGCCGCCCCAAGGACAAGCTGTGTCGGCCGCCTGGCGCCCTTGTTGCCATGGCGCCCTATACACATATATATATATATATATATATATACACACACATATACACATTGTATACCCATTAAAAAAGTTTAAAGGATAATTCACAGCATACAATTATTCAGCTCAAAGTACAACATTTCCAAAATTATTAGTAAGAAAACTATTAATAGTAATCAAAAATCATCTAAATATTATAAAGCAAGACAATCATCTAAAATTGACTATGTGCATTCACCATCTGACTTGCTTAAAGATTTTTTTTGTGACATATACAGTACATATCTGCTAGGATCATTGAAGTCAGGTTGATGTCTATGGAGATCAAAAGGCTGATTATTCTCAGACACCTGTAGCAGCAACTTACAATGTCAGACGACATCAACTTAATAACATAAGTGAAGATAAAATGCCTGGGGCTAAAAGCACTTGCCTGGCATAACCTAGTATTTACAGTGTTTAAACTACAAGTGGTACATGTCACCAATAATTTAATGCAAGCTATCTGGATAGCTCGGAATTTTGACTAAGTGAAAGGCCTCTTATATTAAAGTGTCTGTTTGTGTGTTGGTGTTGCCCACATTTGGATTAGTTTCCTAGGGCAACAATAAATCCGACTGGTAGTTGTGGATAAATAACATCTACATTTTAAACCACTTTCAAGCAGTTTTCAATGACAAAAAGCATCGAACTGATTAAGGCAAACGCATATATAAGGCAACACTTTATAGCAATATGACAGGGATGGTGGTAAATTGCATTGATCCTTATGGTTAAAAACTGTGGCAAATGCAAGACAATTGGCATGTGTTTAGGCAGCATAATACTCATTGATTCCATTATATGTGTGTTTTTGTTTTATACCGGGTTTATAATTAGTATATACTTGTTCATTTCTATACATCTGTAATGTCTTGTATTTACAATTCAGTTTTTCTATATGCTAGAAACATATGTTACATATAATCTTACAGGAGGACTTAAGCAAAACATAAATCATGACTGCTTATTTGGAAGACAGGATTGTGCTCTTCTTGACATTCTTCGCTGTCTGAAATCTGGCAAGGTAAGTACACAGTGCAAAGCTGTGAGAGTCCACAAAGTACACTAGTAAGATGGATATAAGTGTTTAAAGGTTTTCTAATGTTGAAAAAGTTAAAGTAGAACTATAAGGTGAATGATTTCCACTCATCCTCATAGTTAGAGCCAACCTGTGACAAAGAAGCTGTCGGCTCTATTTATTGGAAAGGGAATAGAAACATTACCAATCCACTCACTTACTGATCGTCTCTCTGCAGTGAGCGTGACTGTCAGTCACCGCTCCCCGCAGAGTGCCCCCCTCCCCTCTCTCATCCTCCAGCGCTGAGTGGAGGAACGAATGGTAGAGGGGGCGGGCACAGCTGGCTCTGCCTCTAGATAAGCATCATGCATAAGATCACTCATGCAGCTGGGTGGATCTCGACAGTATTGTAGGAATCTGTCCCGGCTGCGGCGCTCTCAGAATATCGTGGGCAATATACTGAGCTTTAGGGTCACGGGAGGACAAATAATAACCTGCTTCTGTGTCCCAAAGAGAACTATGGGGAAAAACACCTGCCCCATATTTCTCTTTTAAGCGTCTTTCCAGTTTCAAACAAGAGTCGGGAGCAATTGGGCCTGATTAAAAAAATGTTTTCCAACACATCAATATGATGCAAAGTTGTGTGCATGTTTCTGGCAATAATGTGTGCAAACATTTTCCCTTGCAATGTGGGCTGTTTGCACAGTGCCAGAAAGAGTGCAAAGTCAACAAGGAGGAGCTTGTTCTTCGAAGGAAAGTGTTCCTGGAGGATGAATACTAGCCTTTAATGCTGCAAAATAAGACAAGTATCAGGAGCCATGCATTACCATATGCTGCATTACCTATCAAAATAGTATCAAATAAAAAAGAAGAATCAATACTCATTTTTTTTAAGGAAGTTTAAAAAATTTCAGAAATGAAAAAAACAAAAACATGTTAATGTTTTGCTTACCAAAAAGACATGCACATGCTGCATAGATCAACTTGTTTAGCTTAGACTACATCAGATATTACGCTCCCTTAAAAATTGTTACACTTATATTGATTGTCAAATGAACCTAATAGTTGGCAAACAGGAAAAACTTACCAATGATCCAGCCTAAACTCTTCCTAAATGTCTAGAGATGGGCCCATTTCATTTATTAGCAGCTGCATATACCCCTAGCTTGCTTTCAGTAGGAAAAACTCATCTGTGTCAGTACAGTACACACTTTAACAAGCAAAATGTTTTGGACTTCAATTTTGAAAACACAAAAAAAATGGCTAATGATGTCATTGGAGTGATACAGTTTAGTAAATCAGGTAGAATTCAGTGATGGAGTTGGAGCTGGGTCACCCCCCCCCCCCCTTTTTTTCCCTCTATTTTTTTTTTTT